GTAAAATAAAGATGACGACACGCACTTTATAGAGTATTTAGGAAAGGCACAGTGCCAGAGAAATGGTAGGGTGCAATTACTGCTAGCACTGGGGTAAACCTGTAAATAAGGCCTCAAAGCTTCTGTGGAACTTGGAAAGAATTTTCTGCCTACTATAGGGCTAGTTTCGCAACAGCGAGCATTTTGACCTAACACTTCTGAGAAGTGAACACAAACTGTGGAGAGTAAAATGTAATTTTGCTGTGCTTAGAAATAGAAACCTAGTGGGTCTGGGCTGTAGACGTGAGGAAAATGTGACGTGACTCTTCAGAAGAAGAAAAAAAGGAAATACGGACGAGGCAAAAGGAAAGACCAAACGCGTGTGGAATGAGGGCGCTGAAGTCCCTCTGCCAGTGTGGCCCGTCCCGCGCGCTCGCTTCCCGTCACAGGAGGAAGTGGTGCTGGCCTGTGGGTCGCCCAAGGCGGGGGCGGAGTGGCACGTGGCGGGGCTGACTCCCCTCCCGCGGGCCAAGTCCACGTGGCAGTTCTTGAACTTCATCTCCCCCTGGCTTTTGAAGAACTAAGCAGGACTACGGCTGGCCGTGCAATGAGCTGGTCTTGAGCTGGTCTTGAGCTCATCGCTCTTTGTGTGCTTTGCCACGGTGCTGGGCCCGTCCCGCAGGAGACGTCGCTTGGGTAAGGTGGCCCAAGAGGGGAGGCTGACCTCTAACGGAATAAGGAGCTAGCCTGGACTGGACAGAAGGGCCTTTCTCTGTGGGATGGAAGGGAATGGGGAGAGCTCTACGCTTCCACTCACGCATGCGTGAGAGCCAAGGAGCCCCGTGGGGACCTGACTGGACATCTGTGTGCCTGGACAAGTGGCCTGCTCCCCGCAAACATGAGGGTGGCGGGTGGGCTTCCGCTGGCCTCTCCACCAACTCAGACCGCCTTCTTTTTAAAACTAAGGCCTGCTTTTAAAATGTCGCCCGTGGTTGGGCCTTCTCCTAGAGAGGTCTAAGGCCCGCGGCCTTTAATCGGTTTTCAGAGCACATGTTCTTTAGATCACAGGCTGCTTTAACTGTCTCTCTCATCGAATGATCACAAATGATCATTTCAAGGTCAAAAATGACTCTGGTAGATTAGAACAGGGTTGCAAATAAAAGGTTAGGTATATTGGGGTCTTTGTGAAAATCTCCTTTTCTTCATCTGTGACGACCAGTAAAACACAGCGAGAAACTTCTGCTACTTCTGTTGTCTTAACGGTACTCACATCTTACACGTGCATCTTGCCCATTATTGGTGTTCAAGCCAAATACACTATCTGCTATCGCGCAAATATCTATTGAGCACCCACCACGTC